TTTTTACCTCAGTATCTTCCTCTGAATATGAACCCAGATCTTCTTTTACACCAAAGTAGCTATCTATGGTCAGGTTCTTTTTCCTTTGCTTACTCATTTTTATTTTGTTTTATTTTATTTTTAGCAGCTTATCAGTTTAATCAGGTTTTAATCCTGAATTGTGTCTTTGTAGAAGCTATCATCACACTTGCGTAAAATTCATTCCTTCTACACTTACACCTCCTAGGATCCCATATTTCCTTAAAAGCTCAGCTTAACCACCTTCTATATGAGATTGTTCCTGATTTTTCAGGTGCTATTGCCTTCTGCCTTGTACTTAATGTGTATATGTTTATTTATGTACATTTTACTTTTCTCAAAAGAATGTAGGTTCCATGAGGCTTTGGAGTATTTCGTTTTTTATTTTGCATCTGGAGTATATAAGACAAAGTGCTTTACACGCAACTGGTGTTTAATAGATGGTTAGTGATTGCATTTAGTATGGTGGAATCCTTTTAGATGTGGGTTGAATTAGATAGCTGCTGTGATTTCTTGCAACTCTCAACTTTGTGATCCTATGAGAAAAGGAATAATAGTATTTATACTTCCTATCTCCCTATATTTTAATGGGGAAATTATAGACCTTAAATAAAATGTGCCATCATTATTATTATTGTTGGCAGCACTAATCCTAATAGTTTAAAAAAGAAAAAACTGTGTAATTCCCCCAACAAAGTTTCTTTTATGTACCTCAACGAATTCTCAATTCAATCCATTATTAACTATGGTGTGTATACAAGGTAGAAGTTAGTGTAATAACGATTCATTTATTCAATTTAATTCAGCAAAAAATTCCTGAATGCTGCATACACACCCACATGTGTACACAAACACACTAAACTCTGTTACACATTGGGAATAATTAAAAAAAAAAAAAAGAAAATAGATAACCCCTGCCTTCAAAGAAGATACACTATGGGTGGATGAGGAGTGTAGGGGGGTAAGTGGGAATGAGAGAAGGTAAAATATGTACACATTAATACAGAATGTATACAAAAATAAATATGATTTTGAGGTGATCCCATGCTGTGGTTGTGGGTGAGGAGGAGCAAGTGTGAGTGTGATACCAGAGGAAGCAAGAACATTTTTGGGACAGTATGGCTGGGGGCCCTAATTGTGGCTTAGGGGAAGAGAGGAGTCCCTGAGGTTAAGCCCCTAGACAGAAGATGGAACATTATGTGTGAGGAAAAGCCAGAACGCTCATTTATCTGAATGATAGACTTTGTGAAGAGTAGTAATGTATAAAATTGGAAGGGTGTTTTCAGGCCAGATTGTTGAATGGCTGTTGATGCTGAAAAGAGGCTTCTATAGGGTAGTTAGGTGGTACAGTAGATAGAATACCAGGCCTAGAGTCAAGAAGACCCAATATCAAATCTGGCCTTAGACATTTACTGGCTAGGTGACCCTGGGCAAGTCACTTAACCTCTGTTTGCCTCAATTTCCTCATCTGTAAAATAAGGATAATAAGATTTATTTTCCAGCATTGTTGTGAGGATTAAATGAGATATCTATCACACTTAGCACAGAGCCTGCCACCTTATAAATATTAGCTATTCTTATTAGCTCTTAGAGATAATCAGGAGCCACTGGAATTTATTTAGCAGAATGATGTGGTTAGACTTTTGCTTGAGAATTATCACTTTGGTAATTGTGGATCATGGATGGAAGTGGGGAGAAACACAAGGCAAGGAGACTTTTGCATTAGTCTGGGACATCATCAGTTAAGGCCTTATGAGTACAGAGAAGAGAGATGTGAGAGATATTGTGGAAGTAGCATTATCTTATTTTAGAGTCATAGGTCTAAAGTTCAAAGACACATCAGAGGCTATCATCTAGTCCAGTCTTTTCATTTCATAGAATTGGCAAGACTAAATAACTGGTGTTTCCCCCATACTCACAGTAGAGAACTCAACAGCCCACGTTCCATTCCAATCCTCAGATCTATTTCTTCCTTCCTAAGAGTTACCCCACTCCATGGGGTGCTCAATGCTACTCAAATTACTTGGATATTCAGGGAATGAACAAATATCATACTTGCAGTAAGATGGAAATTAACTGGGCCTTACCATTTTTTTCTGCCGCTATGTCCTCTACACCCTTGTGCCTTGCCATCCACCCTGTTTCTAACCCCTTAGAATTACCAGGCCTTTCCATCCATCTTGCAGATGAACTCTCTTATATGTGTTATCTCTCCTCCCCTCTCCCTCCATTACAATATAAACCCTTTTGGAGTAGGAGCTGTCTTGCTTTTCTATTTGTAACCTCAGTGCTTAGTGCTTAGCAAAGACTTGAAATATGCTCTTTTGTTCTTTTTTTTTTTTTTCCATTTACATATGGGATGAGGGAATGAAAGGAGTCAAGAATGATTGTTTGCAAACCTCCATGGCCAGAAGAATAGTGGAGTCATCAACAAAAAAATAGAGGAATTAGGAGCAAGTGTGTGTTTAGGAGGAAAGATAATGAATTCATTGTTAGATGTTTTCAGATGAAGAAGCCTCAAGGATATCCAGCTAAAAATATCTAATGTAGATAGTTCAAAATACAAGATGAGAGCTCCAGATAGACTAGAGTTGGACAGATAGTAGTGAAAGTCCTTTCACATCAGTGTCATCAAACTAAAATAGAAATGAGGGCCACCAAACATATGTAATGATCCCTGTGGGCCCCATAGTGACTTAGAAAACCACAAATCTTTTTGTATTTCTTTTTTAATTAATACATCAGCACATTAAAATCAGTTAGGAATTACATCTTAATCTGGTTTGGGTCATACTCAGGGGTGTTTGTGAGCTGCATTTTTGAGACCACTGAGTTACACAGAAATAACTGAACCCATAGGAACTGAGGAGATCACCTGTGGAGAGGAAAAAGAGAGCCCTGCACAGAACCTGGGTGTACTCATTTAGCAGATGAGTCTACCAGGGAGATGCAGTGATTTCCCCAAACCACATCTTTTTTCTTGAAGTTTTCCAGTGACAGAGACCCTCCTAATGGTTAAGAAATTTTCTGTGATGTGAAGTACAAATTTGTCTCTGAAACTTCTGCCCATAGCTTATAGTCCTACCCTCTGGTGAAGTACAAGTCTGTTCTCTCTTCTACTTGATAGCCCTTCAAATACTTGAAGACAACACAGTGCCTGACACATAGTAAGCACATAATAAGTGCTCTTTCTCTGTGGATATCCTATTCCTCCCACCCCATTCTTTTCCAGGCTGGCGTATAGATTCCAGTTCCCTCACTGATCTTCCTATGGCAAACACTGAAGGCCTTTCACTATCCTGATTGTCCCACTGGACCCTCTCCCACTTATCACATCCTTCTTAAACTGTGCCTACCAGAATTCAACACAGTACTCCGAATAAGTTCTGAACAGAGCAGAGTACATAAGGAGACTGTAACCTCCTTATTGCTTGAAACTTTGTACCATCTCTAGATTTGATAAATATGCCATCTAGACCCTTATCCAAGTTACAAATAAAGCTGTTAAACATCTTGGGCCAACCACGGTTGAGAAAACTGAAGCTTAGAGATTAAATGACTTGTCCACCATCACCAGTAAACATCCAAGCTAGGATTTAATCCAGATATCCTGATTTGAGGTCTATCCTTCAGTTAAAAGATACCATTCAGGAGATATATAATAATAGCAGTGTAACACTTAACTCTCTGAACTTCAGTTTCTTCATCTGTAGAATGGGATAATAATACATGCATAATTCCTCACAAGGTTGTTATGAGCAATGCGTTTAATAAACCTTAAAATTCTGTGTACTTGCATTATTATTGGCTGAATGGTTTGAGAATATTATAAATTTGGAGACATTGGAAGTCATCTAGTCCAAACCTACCTTATTTACAGATGAGGAAGCTGAAGTCACATGATTTGCCCAAGGATACACATTGGTAAGAAATCGTGATCCAAGATTCAGTTTCGAGTCATCTGACTCCAAATCCACTGTTCTCTTCACAAAATGAAATTATTCGAAGTCTAGAGTTGTTGTTTTTTTTTTTTAATTTTTATATTTTAAAGAAAATGTGTCCTCAGGTTAGTTTTAGTTTTGGGATAGTTTCTGTTAAATATTTCAGTCAGTGCTTTGAAATCATGTACTTTTTTCAACTCATTCCTTTTCATATGTACTCAATAATATTATAACAAATACACATGTTTTTTTCTTGTGCTAATTATCTAAAGCTCTCAAAATGAGAATTTTGGCAGCCATGTTATACATCTGGAAAACATTTCCTTGTTACAGTTCAAATTCTGTTTTGCAAATAAAGACTACTAATCCATTTTGGCTTCCTTCATTTCAAAAGAAAACAATGATTTAGAAAATTAATAAATGTTAGGATTGCCACTGTTAATACTCATATGATTTTTCATTTTCTGATTATAAAAAAAAATTGTGAAACTTTGACAGCATATGTAAAACAGAATTTTTTTGACTGTTATTATTTAACAAACAACCGGATGTTTTTCAATTACTTTTTTCTATTTGGAATAAAAAGTTGGCAATGTTAACTCATATTATATACTTTTAAAGAATGTACCAAACTTGAGAATGCCTAATCTTACTTCAGTAATGTTTCCAATTTTATTTTAGCTAGATAATTTTCCATTTTTGCCTTATACCAATTTTAGTATATTCTTATATTCTCATGTATACTTTTAAAATTTAACCCAAATGTACATTATATTTAAGCTTTGTAAATTTATGTACCATTTAAAATATTATATAAGTTTGACTCAAACATTTTTGCCTCACTCATATTGTTTTGGTTAATTTTTAAGAACTAAACATTTTTAAGTGCTCAAGTTTTAATTACTCAGGTGGACTTGAGTGCTAGAATCCATGAAAAATGGATCAGTCCTGTTAATTACAGTTCCCTGTTAGAATGAATTCATAGTCTGTCTAACTGTGAAGAATGTACAACATTCAAAGATTTGAAACTCTCTTTTACAGGCTAGCCAACAATGAGAAGCAAGGATTAAGGACACATACAGTCTCTGTATCAGGTAAGGGTCAAAACTGTAAAGTTTACTAATCAATTCAATAAATAGTTATTCATTTGAGTACTGTTGTGGTTTTATAGATTGCTATAATCTCCCCCCAGATGTAATGGGTTTGGCCAATATAGTTTTTAACCAAGGCTATGTGAATGTGATTTAAAAATGTAAAGGAAATTCTGTGCAATTCAGAAGTGTTTTTCCAGTTGAAGGTTAAACTAATCATTTTGATTTATCTAAGAACATTTTGATTTGAGCCAAAATTCATGTTTTAAGCAGACGAGAAATAAGTAAAATTAAAATTGTGTTTATAGGTTTCTGAAAGTAACAGAAACATGAATTTATATTTTTTATTTTGTGTATTTTACTTTAACATAAAGCAGTAGTCATTTGAAATATGTATATTGGCAACTGTCAGTTGGCCATTATGATTAATATGTTATTTTGTAAGTCTGTAGATAACTTTTAAGTACCTGTAATAACAAATTCCTGGTGACTTTGATATCAACTATCAAATCAGCTAAATTTTAGAAGATTTTTTTCTATTGTTTCAGATAATGACTTTCTGGAATTAGCCATATAAGAAAAGAGATATTAGTGAAAAGAAAGATAACATTGTTTATGTTCTGCATAATAGAGTATCTATAATACAATAGCTAGGGGTGTAGGATTATGGTGGCCTTATTGTTTCATAAACTAAGTCCTAAGGTATTTCTCACAGTTCTGTGAAATTTGCAGAGATTGGAGTATAAAACTGATTTTGACAATGCCCATCCTCTTCTGAACTACTACTGATATAACTGACTTAGAAAGTACTCTGTACTTTGGTCTTGACATGGATATAAATTTTATGTTACCTTATAGCACTACTGTGGCCAGTCACCAGTCCATGAGTTGATAGGTAATTTTTTTTTCTTTTTAAATTCTCAGTAGGTATTGGGCAGGGCTAAGGAGGATATGGAGCAATGTCTTTGTACAGTAACTATATTGTCCAATCACTAATTATCTGGCAACTGAGAATCATGGGGATGGGAAGCTACGGACATCAAAAAGTGCATTTTAAAAAGTTTTCTTAGGAGAAAGAGGAAGATCAAAGGATTTTTGTTTGGTATAGATAGGACAGTGATATAGACAAGAGAGAAGAGAAAGCAAGCTGCTCAATTTCTATTTTGCTTCCATTTTCTTTGACAAGAAAAATGACCTTTTACTAGGAATGAAAGAACAAAAGTGACTGATGATGGGAGCTCACATCGAGGTTAAGTAAGGAAGTAGTTTGAGAGTATTTTTTGCCCATGGTGAATTTGGATCACCTAGCCCTGAAGATCTACATCCCTTAGTACTAAAAAGGCTGGTGGATATGATTGCTGAGGTACTATCTGTATTATCTGAAAGATTATGAAAAATGGGAATAGCACCACGAGGTTTGAGGACAAGTGTCCTAATTTCAGTAAAAAGGACAGATGTATTAAAAAAAAATTCATATTTTGTGCAATATCCCACACCTGTGGACTCCAACCTCTTCAAAGGAACTGAGATGGGAAGTGACTTCTCATATCTCTTCTTTGGTACCAAACTCATTCTTTGTAATTTAGCAATGTTCAGTTTTGCTTGTTCTGTGGTAGTTGTTCTTTCCATTTATTTGGTTTTTTGGGGGTCATTGTGTATATTATTTTCTAGCTCTGCTTATTTCAGTGGCATCAGTTCATATAAATCTTTACATGTTTCTCTATATTCATTATATATGTCCATTTTTATTGCACAAAAATATTCCATTACATTCATGGGCCAAAATTTGTTTAGCTGTTCCCCGATTGAGTGATATCTCCTTTTTTCCAATTATTTTCAACCACAAAAAGTGCTCACATGAATATTTTTGTGTATATAGAGCCTTTTTGTCAATGACCTTAGGGAAAGGGTGTGAGGAGGCAGTAACATCTAGCAGGGCAGTCTCTTTGTTAAAGAGTATAGATAGTTTAGTCTTTTTATTTATATGATTCCAAATTGCTTTTGAAAATGGTTGTACCTAGTTGGATTTTGCCTGTCTTTCTATATATCTCTCCAACATTAATTATTCCTGTCTCTTATCATCTTTGCAGGTTTCATGAGCATGAGATGAAACCTCAGGGTTGTTCTTATTTACTTTTTTTATATTATTAATGATTTGTGGTTTCTTTCATGTGATTGTTAATAATTTGACATTCTTATTTTGACAATTGTTTCTTTGCTTATCTGCTGAGGAATGGCTTTTAGTTTCATATTTTTTGTCTCTATCTTAAATATTAAATTTTATCAAAGATATTTTATACAAAGATTATTTCCCAGTTACCCCTTCTCATTTTAGCCTAGCTACATTAATTTTCTGTTTAAGAATGGTTTCCAATATCATGTTCCAAAAATAACCATTTTATCTTTTATAATTGCTTCTATCCCTTGTTTGGTTAAGAATTTATATCCTACCCATAGCTTGATATGTCATGGTGTTTAAAGTCCCAGTTACATATTAATTTTTAATTTATTGTGAAATATGGCATATTGATATAAGCCACATGGCTTTCCAGTTTTCCTAAAACGTCTTATAAAATAGGGAGTTCTTATGCCCAAGGGGCTTTAAAATTGTGCATACCCTTTGATCCAGCAATAGCACTTATAGGGCTGTATCCCAAAAAATCATTAAAATGGGAAAAGGACCCACATGTCCAAAAGTATTTATAGCAGCTTTTTTTGTGGTGGCAAAGAATTGGAAATTGAGGGGATGCCCATCGACTGGGGAGTGGTTGAACAAATTGTGTTATATGAATGTAATGGAATACTATTATTCCATAAGAAATGATGAGCAGGCAGATTTCAGAAAAACCTGGAAAGACTTATATGAACTGATGCTGAGTGAAGTGAGCAGAACCAGGAGAACATTGTACACAGTAACAGCCACATTATGTGATGATCAACTATGAATAACTTAGCTCTTCTGAGCAATGCAATGATCTAAGACAATTCCAAAAAACTTATGGTGGAAAATGGTATCCATAACCAGAGAAAGAACTATGGAGTCTAAATGCAGATTGAAGCATAGTATTTTCTCTCTCTTTTTTCTTTCTTGTGGTTTTTTTCCTTTTGTTCTGATTCTTTTTTCACAACATGACTAATGTGGAAATATGTTTAATATGATTGTACATGTATAGCCTGTATCACATTACATGCCATCTTGGGGAGGGGGAGGGAAGGAAGGGGGGAAAATTTAGAACTCAAAATCTTATAAAAGTGAATGTTGACAACTAAAAATAAATAAATTTAGTTAAAAAAAAAAGAAAGTTCATCTTACTGGCAGAGAGTATAAAAAAATAGGGAGTTCTTAACTAGGTAATTTGTGCTTTGGGGTTTATTCTATACTGAGTTATTGAATTCCATTATTTCTGGTTCTTTCATACATACTCTGTTCCCTTTTTCTACTTCTGTATCTTTTAACCTATACCAAATGGTTTCAGTAATTGCTGCTTTATAATATGATTAGAGGTCTAGAAGTACCCCCTCATTACCCTCTCATTTATCTTTTCCCCTTTTTTTAGATCATTTATTCCTCAAAATAATTTTTTTTATAGTTTTATCGAGCTCTGTAAAGTATTCCTTTGGTAGTTGATGTAACTTTAAATCAGTAAATTAAGTCTGGTAGTAGTGTCATTTTTTCTTATATTTTCACAGCCCAAAGTCATTTCCTTTTTTAAAACAAGATTACTAAACTAGAGGAGAAGAGAAATTCTATGGATACAGTGAGATGTTTGCAAAGTTTTTGATAAAAAAAAAAATCATACTGTTCTTGTGGAGATGATAAAGAAATGTGGACTAGACAGTAATACAGTTAGAGCAAGTAAGGACTGATTGAACTGAAAGACTCAAAAGAGTAGTTGTTAATGTACTGTTAATGTGGCAGAAGGTCTCCAGTGGAGTACCTCATGGATCTGTATTTGACTCTGTACTGTGTAACATTTTTGTCAGTTACTTAGTTAAAGGCATCTTCATCAAATCTGTACATGATACAAAGCTGGGAAGGATAGCCAGCACTGGACAGTAGGATTCAGAAGCAAGTTGACAAGCTAGATCATTGGGCTGAATCTACTAAGAGGGAATTTGACAGGGAAAAGTGTAAATTTTGTACTTGAGTAGAAAAAAATAAAGTTCTTAATTTTGAGGTTCTGAATTAAGTTCAAAATGGGATACATATGTTTGATGGAGATTTTTTCAAAGATCTGTAGGTTTCAAAGTTCCACAAGCTTTTGTATTATTAAATGACATAATATATGTAAAGCATTTTATAAAACTTACTATACCATATAATTGTTGGCTACACATTATTGTGAGTCAGCAGTCTTATGTACCTGCCAAAAAACCTGTTGTGAATTTAAGCTATATTAAGAGAGTTATAGCTTCCAAAAATAAAGTGGTGATTGTCTCATTATATTCTCTCTTGGCCATACCTCATCTGTAGCATTGTGTTCAGTTCTGGGTGCCAAATTTTAAGAAACTATATTACCTGGGAAGATTTATATGAACTGATGCATAGTGAAGTGAGCAGAACCATGAGAATTGTACACAGGAACAGCAGTGTTGCAATACAATGATCCAAGACAATTCAAAAAACTTATGATGAAAAATGCGGTCCACTCCCAGAGAAACAATTGATGAAATCTGAATGCAGATTGAAGCATACTTTTTTAAAAAATTTTTTTTTGGGGGAAAAGGGGTCTGTGTTTTCTTTTGCAACATGGCTGATATGGAAATATGTATTGCATGACTGCACATCTATAATATTTATCAAATTGCTTGCCTTTTTCATAAGGAGGGAGAGAATTTAGAACTCAGAATTTTTTTTCAAAAGAATGTTAAAGGAGTAGCTAGGTGGTGCAGTGGGTAGAGCAATCTGGAGTCAGGAGGACCTGAGTTCAAATCCGGCCTCCGACACGTGATACTTACTAGATGTGTGACCCTAGGTGAGTCACTTAACCCCGATTTCCTCA